CGAACATCCAAATCTAAAACGAACAAACAAACAAAAGCATCGCCCATGGTAACAGGCTTCCCCCAAAGGCTGAGAGGCCGCCCCAAACCCGCACATTTTGCGATTCCTCCTTAATGATGGGCTATATGAGGGTGGCTTCCCTACCTTTGTCAGCCTTGAAATATGGGCGGCGGCAGACGTCTCGCCCTAACGACATGTTGCGTAATGATGTGGCCCTTGCGTTGTGACAGCTCTCGATTCAGATGTCCTCTTGGCAGGTTCACGAGTTTTTTTTTGTTTTTGTTTTTGTTTTTAGTTGTTGTTGTTGTTGTTTTTTGAGCAGTTAGCGAACGAGCAGGCGAATGGATAGCTTGGTGAATGTATCTATGAATGAGTGAATGAGTGAGGGAGTGACTGAATGAGTGGTTGAATGGATGAGTGACTGAATGAGTGGTTGAATGGATGAGTGAACAAATAAGTGAATACGTGAATGGATGAATGAATGAAGAGAAGAAGGAAGGAAAGGTAAAACATACACAAAATCGCAATTCACATATTTATAGCGTGACGTCATGAGCACACAGAGAGATGAATGCTGAATGAAGAACTCACGGAGAATCGTCATTTAACAATTCGTGTCATGACTTCATAAATAAACAGCCAGATAAATAAATAAATGAAAGAATAGAGGAAATAAAAGTAAAAACAAAATACAAGAATTGTTATCTAACAGTTCATGGCTGCACGTAAACATTATCAAGAGGTGGAGTTGACTGCCTCAACAACAAGCCATAAATGAAGTTGCTTGCAATGATAAGCAACGATCGCAGTTCCGGAGAGGCGGCGGTGACGGCCTTAACGGCGCCATAACACCGCCGCCACAACATTACCTCCGCGCCTCCGCCCTTTGTAAATCTCCAGCTCCTCGGCCGCCCATTCTGCCCTCGCCTCTCGCCCGAAGATCACTCAATAACAGGCGATAAGTCTCCGCGGCGCCCACTTCCTCCATCACGCCCGCGATAAAACGCCCATCGCTTCCGCTCTCCTCTCGCGGGGAGGGAGAGGCGGCACTCAGGGCCACTCTGATATACGGCGACTCCCCCCGGGCCGCCCGCGGTTTATGGCACGTCCCTCAGACGCCCACGGGCCCTGAGGGGCGGTCGCTCTGGGGGGCTTGGCAGGGGCTTGCAAGGCACGCCGTCACTCTAATGGTGGGGGTATATATGTATGTATCTGTCTCTCTATCTGTCTGTCTGTCTGTCTGTCTGTCTGACTGTCTCTCTGTATCTTTCTCTCTCTCTCATATACATACATACGTACATACATATATATATATATATATATATATATATATATATATATATATATATATATATATATATATATACAAATATATAAATATACATACATACATACACACACACACACACACACACACACACACACACACACACACACACACACGCACACACACACACACACACACACACGCACACACACACACACACATACACACACACACACACATATATATATATATATATATATATATATATATATATTAATATATATATATATATATATATATATATATATATATATATATATATATTAATATATATATATATATATATATATATATATATATATATATATATTTTTTTTTTTTTTTTTTTTTTTTTTTCAACAGCCATTTATTCCACTGCAGGACATAGGCCTCTCTCAATTAACTATTGAGAGGTTATATGGCGGTGTCACCCTTGTCTGATTGAATGCCCTTCCTAATCAACCGCGGTTCGGCGCGCTACCACTTGTACCACGGCGGCGACTTCCCCTACGACACCTGCGTTTGACTTCTCAAGCCGATATGTCGTTTTCTCGGGCTCGAGTCAACAGTCAGAGCGTAGGCATTTTTTACAACTGCCGCGACGGGGAATTGAACCCGGGACCACGAGGGTCAGAGTCCAGTGCTCTAACCACTGAGCTATCGCGGCAGTAAATATATATATATATATATATATATATATATATATATATATATATATATATATATATATATATATATATATATATATATATATATATATATATATATATATATATATATATATATATATGTGTGTGTGTGTGTGTGTGTGTGTGTGTATGTATATAGATAGATAGATAGAAAGATAGATAGATAGATAGATAGATAGACAGATAGATACACAGATAGATAAATAGATAGACATATAGATAGATAGATGTAGTCATAGATATAGATATGTATATATATTCATACACAAACATGCAAATTGCTACTAAAACGATTAGTGTGGCGTTTATGTATATGTCCGTTTGACAGTGTAAATGTGAACATGTGTTTATGTGCAAGTGCGTATGCGTGTCTTTGACCGTTTTGCATTAAAGTTCCAGTGAAAAATACAGTCCCAGAGGTTCCAAACTTCTTAAACATCCTGATTAACTCTCCTAGAATTCGTCTCCTGTTCGAAGAGAAAAACTTTGTGTGACAAATACGTTTAAAACGAAACTTCTCTTGGATCGATAAAAAAGGTAAAAGTTTCCGTTGTTTCGCGAAATACGCGCTTTTCTCACCCACTCTTTCTTTCCCCTTCCTACCTGTTTCTTTTTTTTTTCTTCTTCTCTCTCTTTCTCTCTCTCTCTGTCTCTCTCTCTCTGTCTCTCTCTGTCTCTCTCTCTCTCTCTCTCTCTCTCTCTCTCTCTCTCTCTCTAGCTCGCTCACTTGCTCTCTGTCTCTTTCTCTTTCTGTCTGTCTGTCTGTCAATCTGTCTCTATCTCACTCATTTTCTTTCTGCTTTTCTAAATTGGCTTGCGTATTGATAGCAGATGTATAATAGGAGATTTAGACTTTAATTATAATTCATGATTATGCAGATGAAGCCTATTAATATCATCGTTGAAATATATATATCAAGGAATCTTTATTTTCTCTTTCTACATATGAGATATGAGTATCCGAAGGTGTTCACAGACCACTTGCCCGAATATGCATTAACTATCTTTTTTTTTTGCCAGTTTGAACCTTCATCTATAACGTAAGCATCGATATGGTCACGCCAGTGCTCTACAGTTATGAGCCAGGGTGCAGGAAGGAGAACATACCTATATTTATGTTACAGATAAAAGTAGTAACTAGAAAATCAGAAAAACTTCATTAACGCATTTTTCGGGTCATTGGTATGGACCCCCCCCTCCCCCTTTGGACGTACATGCATTAATCCTATGTCTTTGCGTATTTTTCCAGAGCAAGAAGAAATTTGCCATAAAACGAAGGTAAGGAACAAATTTATCCCGTTTTAGCAGTGGCATTTCCACTGCCCTCCCTGGTATCTGAGCTCTCCGTCATCACAGTGATGGCCAGGGAAGCAGGGGAAAATACAGCTTACAGGGGAGAAATGTGGGGGAGAAATATAGGAATCGTAGGGGGAGACAACAGAAAAGTTAGACGAGTAAGGTAACTATGCAGGAGAAGGGACGCGATAGGGGTATGTAGGGGAGGTTGTGTGGCGAATGGAAGACCGAGAACCGTAGGGGAAGGTTATGAAGAGGGAGGAGGGGTGGGGTGTAAGGAAAGAGGATGGGGGGGAAGAGGAGATGTCGGGGGTAAAAGGCGGGAATGGCAGGGGGCGGGGGGGATCTGGGAGTTTCAAGGGGAAATGTGAAGAGGGAAGTGTAGGTGTTTGAAAAAAAAAAAAAGTGAAAGGGACAACGGCAATATCTAAACAAGGAGAAGCATAGGGAGGTTACAGGGAGAAACGTTTCCTCTCTCTCTCTCTCTCTCTCTCTCTCTCGCTCTCTCTCTCTAGTTTTTGAGGCGGATAAACAGTCCCAGAGAGAATCGTAAAAGTCTCGTCATAGCATAAATAAAAGCTTTACGGTAAAAGCAAAACAAAACAAAAGAAGAACGCCCGGGAATGGCGCAGGCGATCGCGTGGAAATGTGATAACACTAGAGATCGTTATGGCGAGCGAGCAGCGTGTGGAAATGAGATCGCAAAGGCCTGCGTGTAGAGGGCGCTAAGAAATGGCCCGTGCGCCTCCCTCGCTGTCACTCCATCCATTGCTCCTCATGCGTAGGGAGGCCATGTTTATGGAATGGCCATAGAACGGAGACGCGACAACAAAGGTAATCTACATGATGGCCTCAGGGGGGGAAGGAGGCTCGCCGCAGACCTTTCTGGGCTGCCATTTTACGGACCTTTGGGGAGACCGCGTGGAATAGATCAGACCGAAATGCTGTTGGACATTCACACGCACTCGCTGCCTGGTTTTCCTTCCTCGCCTTTCGCACGCTCTCTTTCTCTTGCTTTCTGTCTCTTTCTCTTTCTCTTTCTATCAGTCTCTCTCTCTCTCTCTCTCTCTCTCTCTCTCTCTCTCTCTCTATATATATATATATATATATATATATATATATATATATCTGTCTATCTATCCCTATCTCTATCATTCTCTCTCTCTACATCTGTCTCGCTTTCTCTCTCTCTCTCTCTCTCTCTCTCTCTTTCTCTCTCTCTCTTTTTCTCTCTCTCTCTTGCTCCTCTTCTTTCGAACACTCGCACGCATTCTCTCGCTTTCTCTCTCTCTTTCTCTTTCTATCTTTCTGTCGCTTCCTCACCCTCGTTCTTGTCTTCTGTAATACCAGCTTATATATACACACTGTTCCCTGTATATACTATCGGTGTTATTCTATTATTAACTGTATATACCACAGTGCTGGACTACTATCTGCCGTATATATCTTATTGTTATTCTGTTATTACTATAGTGTTATCAATTGTATATATTATCATTAGTATACTGTGATTGGTATATACTGTATTCACTGTATATTCTGTATTATTATTGGTGTCGTATTATCAGCTGTATGTACCCTTGTTGTTATGCTTTTATTAGTCTTATAAGTTATGATTAATTTGCTTCTATTAGCTATATATATTAATACTCTTAATGGAAAAATGGCGAAGCTTTTTTTCCCCGCTGGTAATACGTGCAGAGTAACATTAGAAGTGACGCGACTGAAAAGAATAAATGAGTGGCGATGAGGAAGAGGGATAGATAATGGCGGTGATGATATAAGAAAAAAATAAGGAGAGGAGGAAGAAGAGGATGAAAATAGTGAAAGGAAGAAGGAGAAAGGAAAAAGAGGATAAGACGAAAAATTAGAAGAAATAAGAATTATGATGATAAAAGAAACATAAGGGGAGGAAGTATAGGAAGGAGATTATGGAAGGAAGTAGAAGAAAAGATGAATAAAGTAGAAGAAAAAGAAAGAATAGTGGTGAAAAACAAAAAACGAAAACAGGGGCATGAGAGCAGGAAGAAGATAATGAAAGGGATAAAAAGAGAGAAGAAGAAGAAGACGAAAAGAAAAAGTAGATGAATAAGAAAAGAACAGAGTAATGATATTAAAAGGAAGAGGAAGAAGACGACAAAGAATAATAATAGTAATAATATAATTAAGGAAAAGAAGACGAAGGAAATTTACTGACGATAAAAAAAAAAAAAACATGAAAGAGAAAGAATGAAAGAAAGAAAGAAAAAAATATACAAAGGAAGAGGAACAGGACGAGGACGCTGGACACACAAGACCACGATCTCTGGAACGTGTTAAAGATCGTCGTGTGCGGCCTCGTCTTCCTCTACGCCTTGGCCATCTGGGGGACAGTGCGTGCGTGGAGGGTCCTTGATGCTACCGAGCTGGTGTAACGTGCTTCGAAATGTGCTACGTGGTTGGTGATGCGGATTTTGTGTAGAATTATCGCTTTGGGGAATATGGTTTAGGTTTTATGGTTTAGTTTGGAAGGTTGTGTTTATAGGTGTTTTACTTATGGGGTTTATTACTGTGACGATTGCTGGTTTAAGGGAATACGTATTGGTGCTGAAGTTCCTCCTAAGAGTCTTATGGAGTAAAATCTTTTCACGTGGCACGCGGTAGGAAAAGGGCTGGAAAAAAAGGCATTAGCACTTTCTTTTGGAACATTATTTTGAA